GTATTACTATTATTATTATTATGTTGAATATTACTATAATATTATAATAGTATTATATTATATTATATTATTATTATAATGATTATTATAATTATTATATTAGAATTATTATTGGGAATATTAGTGGTTGAAATAAGTAAAATAAGAGGTGGAAGGGTTATTGGAAAGTTAGAATGGAAATATGAAAAGTCATGATAGAAACCGTGAGGAAGGAAATATGAAGGGGTAGCAAGGAGATATTAGAAAAGTTGGAATAGAGAGAAAAGGGATTACCATGGAAATTGGTGTGATAATAATAATAATATTATTATTATTATTATTATTATTATTATTATTATTATTATTATTATATTATTTTTATTAGTTATTATTATTATTGGGATAGGAAATAAAAAGGAAAATAGAATATGAAGGGGTGGGGGAAGTATTAGAGAAAATAACACGATAGAAAGAGGGAAGAGAGAAAGAGCGATAGAAAGAGAGAAGAGGAAAGAACGAGAGAAGTGAGAAGAACGAAGGAAAAAGGGAACGAAGAACGGAAAGAAAAGAGGAGGCCAAGAGACCAAATCCAGGAAGAATTTCATTGATCAACCGATTAACAAGGTAAGGGGGGAGAAACTTGATTGGGAATGATATATACATGTATAGGGTAGTGGGGATTCCTTAACCCTGTAGGAATGTATCGTTGATGAAGTTTTATATTGACATGCTATTGATTGTTGAGTTATGTTGATGTTGATGGATTGAAATATGTTGAGTGTTGGTGAATTGTTGTTTTTGGTTAATTTGGCGTATAGGTTGGGTTTACGGTTTTAGGGAAGTTCTGTGTGACCTTTTTGATGTGTCGATAGATTGTTTAAGTGATGACTTTGGAATAATATGTATATGATGATGTACGGATGTTTGATGTTGGATGTTTGATGTTGCCATTGTTGATTGACTGTTGGTGTTGGTTTGGTTTGAGTAAGGTTCAGAGTAACTCTAAAGTGTCGGTAGTGTGCCGTAATGTTGATCTGGAGTAGAATTATAGGAAGATTGATAAGCCTAATATGCATTGGTCGTAATACGGATAGTATAGGAAGTGGATGTTATAGAATAGGCTTGAATCAGAGAAGAGTGAGAATTCTGAACTGTGAGAACTTGAGAAGTCGCAGGCAACTCGCTAGCACTTCGCTTAGCGAGAAGGCAGCGAGCGTTCGCTAGGTGCTCACCTAGCAAGTGAGGTAGCGAGTGAGTCCAGTAGGTTCTGTTTGCCTTCGCGAGGAGGTTCGCTAAGCGAACAGGTAGCGAGCATTCGCTGGGAGCTCGCCTAGCGAGGGTGTAGCGAGCGTAGCAGAATGGGGTTTTTTCTATGCTGTTATACTGTGTGCGCTAAGAGTGTAGTGCCCTTGGACTTTGTTGATTATAGGGGAGATGATTGAGTGTTCTAGAGTGAGTACTCGGTGATAGTATGTGATTTCCGTTACTAATTATTTAAATGGATAATTAGTTAGTGTATGAATCATGCGGAGCATGGTGTAGTGATCAGTAGGATCGTGTATTCCCGAGTGGTGGGACGTGTTTATATCTTGGTGATAAAGTATGAACTTGTTTACTTGGTGATGGTACTCGTTTTCCTTGATATTGTTGGTGAACAATTGGTTAACGTATATGTATGTAGTGATCAGTAGGATCGTGTGTTCCCGGGTGTTGGGATGTGGTTATATATGGTGTTATAGTATGAATTTATTTACTATCTGATTGATTTATATGGTGTTGGTGTAATATATCTACACATATATGCATTGATGTATGATGATATGATCAGGAGGATCGTGTGCACTTAGTGTGCCTAAATATGATAGTTATGCATTGGTGTGTGCATATCATGGTGTTTTGGTGGGATGAATCATGTCTCAGGAGGAGCGTAAGTGATTCATCCGTACTCCTTGGTGGAGAATGGTGGGGGATAGATCATGTCTCAGGAGGAGCGTAAGTGATCTATCCAGGTTCGATTGAATGAACCAATGAGTCGGTACCGCATGCATGGTGTTGAGTTGCATATTTGCATTATAATATGTTATATTGTAATTTGAACAGTAGGTTCGTTATATGGAGTTGTTGGGGTGAATATTGGTGTGTTGGTGTGTTTTACTACCTTGTTTACATGTATTACATTACCAATATATTTTTGATCATGTTTTCTCACCCCTTGGTTGTTGTTGTGTCTGTGCTTCTCCGGAAGTACAGATAATCCAGGTACTTAGATAGCTTGGATGGTGGTGTGCCAGTCGAGTCTAGGATGCTCTGATACGTAACACGGGATATGGGTGTTTTAATTGTTTTATGTCAAACTTATTGTAATCCTATGACGTATCACTTTTTTTTTTGTGAATTATAATAATAAAGATTTTACGAAATTTGGCGGATGGCCGAGAATGTTGGGATAATGTTTTCCGCTGTATTATTTTTGAGAATAATTAATAAAGTATTTTTATAAAAATTTGGTGATGTGATATCCCACTATTTTGGGGAAAACTCTGATGTTTATTTATAATGTTTATATTTTATTTAATTTGGGAAGTGGGGTGTTACACTAGGCATATAGGACTTAGACATTCGTTCGTGAGAAAACTGATTAAGGATGGAATCATTTCACTTACGTATATACGAACAAGCTATAATTTGGCTGATCCGTTTACTAAGCCACTGGCCAGAGACTTAGTAAAAACAACCTCGAGAGGTATGGGGTTGAAACTCCTTGAGTAAGAGTTCCGACAACGGCGGCAACCCAATCTTAAGTTAATAGAACATTAACTTTAAGATTTTCAATGGGTAATAACAAGTCGTTGATTTGGATAATTGTCTAACATTTCATAATTATGTTGACATTAGAAATGAGGGTTGAGTTTTATTTTAAACTCTTAATGAAGTTCAATACCGAGGGTACGTATCCATTGGAAACAGATACTATATGAACTTCACCTATGTGAATTCTGAGATGGTGCCGTCTCAAAGTGAGAGTTGGAGTTTCTCTCATAAAAAAATTCATGAAATAGGATAGCACATGGCCATAAATAAGTGCTAAGCGAGTTACGCAGAGGAAGAATCTTTAAGGAGTGTGTGTAAGGTAACACCGGTCTATTCATATGGATTCATGGTTTAAAAGCATTGCTACCTAATATTCCGATTAAACCTTGTGTTATCCTTACTAAGGTTAAGTTTAAAATCGAAAGATACTTAACTGTATTAATACTTCTTATGTCTCATTTCTGGAATTATTATTTTGTCATTATTAGAACAAGTGGGGGATTGTTGGAAATAATGAAGATTTATTTCCATTAAAGTTGTTCCAAAATGACAAAGTGGGTGATATAGTCAATTGACAATAAATGTTTAGTCCCACATTGGAAGTGGAATAAAATTAAATAGCATTTATAAGGCCCTTGGAACAATGTAATTTCCAAAGGAGGCAAAGAGGATAAAGTGTCACATAGTCATATGTGGTGGTGCCAAAACTTATGTCACTTGTCTCATACAAAACACCCCTCGCCGGTGTCGCCACCAGCGACACCGGATCCGAGGGCGTGGGCGTAGAGGCGTTAGTGGCGGCTTGTAGACGGCACTTTAGCACTTAGGCACGACGCATCGGAGCAATCAGGCTATTCCCGGCGTTAATGAGGCGGCGCCGGTGGCGCTCCGGCCGCCTCCGGCGTTCGGTCGGTATATTGCGAATTTGTTTTAATTGTCGCTCCAGATTTCATTCGTTGCCTGGAGTTTGATTTTTGAATTTGAATTCGAAATATATGACACTTCATGAAGTGGTGCATGACATTTTATTTGAACCATTGCAAATGCTCATTAGAGAGTGTGTTTATGAAGAGTTGCAAACTTCTGAAACGACACATGCATGGCTATAAATATATGCTTGATACTTCGAAATCAAATACTCCAAAAATATGATATCCTCTTCTATATAATTCCAAACGTTTTCCTTGCATTCGAAACTTCACCAGTCTTGTGCAGTTTCGAGAAAAAGGCTGACTTATCCTAGGTATTCAGGTCGTTCCAACTCTAAGACAATTTGAGAGTGTGCTTGAAATACTTTTAAGAAAAGTGATTTCGTTCACGATTCAGTCTGGATCCATTCGACATTGAATGATTATCTAACAGGTAACTCCACATGTGATGCCAACCATTTGCTTTTTAGTTGATTTACAAGTTTCTTTGTTGCATTTTCGGTTCAGTACACAACATGCATTAAAAGAGTCAACTTTTCATTTATGTCATAACTAATTCCTAATCTGATTGCAAATAGTTAGAATTAAACTCTAAATGCCCCTTAAACAATGAAGTGACATTGATTGGAAGAAGGTTACGGGAGTAGAACTAAAAAATTTCTTATATTATAGATAATTAATTATTATTTTATTTATAAAAGATATTAATTAATAAATACATTTAATCATAAATATATTTTTTTCTTAATCATCACCGCAACAAAAGGTGAAATGAAGTAAAGTTTAAAAGAAAATTAATTTTTAAAATGGAAATTAAAAATTAAAAGACATACAAAGCTGCACTTAAGTTTTGTTATTATTGTATAAAAAAATGATTTAGTTTGGGTTTGATTTCCTTTAATTATGCAAAGGAAGCAAGAAAGAGACGTGATATTCCAGCTCTTTTGATTTGTATTGGTTAGCAAACATAAGACAAGAGAGAGAGGAATTTTTGGCGTAAGATTCCCTTGTTCCTTCCACCGAGCAGCAGCACTGTAAAATAAAAGAAATATTTTTACAGAGAGTTGGAATCGAAGACGCAGATGTGAGGGAAAGGAATAGGAAAGTGTTGTGGGAGAAACAAAGTGTTTTAAAAACGCCCAAAGCAAAAGCTCCTCCCTCCCTCCCTCACTTCCTTTATTCTCTCAAACTCTCTTTTTTTTTTCCTTCTTTTGAAATCGACTTTACCCTTCCGGTGAGTTATCGATCTGCGACAAGTCAGATCTAGTGGCGTAGAAGAAGATGGAGAGCGAAAAGAAATCGGCTTCAATATCAAACTTTGGAGCATGGGGTATGAACGTTGTAAGTTCCGTTGGAATTATCATGGCTAATAAACAGCTCATGTCCAATAATGGCTATGCTTTCACCTTCGGTAAGATCTCTAATCTATTCTCATTCTCGATTCGATCTGCAAACCAGATCTCTAATCTATACTTTATACACAGCCACTACATTGACCGGCTTCCACTTTGCCGTAACCGCTCTCGTCGGTCTTGTCTCCAATGCTACCGGTTATTCTGCTTCCAAACATGTCCCTCTTTGGGAGCTTCTTTGGTTCTCAGCTATTGCCAATATATCTATCACAGGGATGAACCTCAGCCTCATGCTCAATTCTGTTGGTTTCTACCAAGTAAGCTTCCACTCTTAACATCTCTCTACACTCATGCTTGTATATTTTATTTCATTAATTTGAATCTATAATCCTATTTCTTTCTATTTCACTGTCTGCAACTTCCTCTTATATGTAAGGAAATACCAATGCTTCATGACGGATTACCTTCAACATTATCACTATGTAACCTTTCAATTTTAACCAAGGCATTTTGCAAAACTTGTGCAACCTATACCAAGATTGTCATCTTGTAATAAATTCAAATTATGCTCAATTCTTCATTTTAGAACATCTATACCAATACTAGTTATTATAATTATATCTCAATATTTAAATGTTGGGATTTTCAGTACTCCATCATCAAGGTTCAGCTTTTTTGTCCAATGGATTCTCATGCTTTCGCTTTCAACCTCTATTTCTTTTATTTTTCACATGTTCATTTACTCATTCGGTATGTCAACAGATATCAAAACTAAGCATGATTCCCGTGGTTTGTGTCATGGAATGGATCCTTCACGGCAAACACTACTCCAGGGAAGTCAAAACGGCAGTCATGATTGTGGTTATTGGTGTGGGTGTTTGCACTGTAACTGATGTTAAAGTTAACCTCAAAGGTTTCGTCTGTGCCTGTCTAGCCGTTGTATCATCATCTTTACAGCAAATTGTAAGTCTCATATATTGTTTTTATTTCGATTTATTGTGACTTCCTTTTCTCTTGTCATTTATATCCAAGTGTTGTAGCATGGGATTTTTTTTATTCTTGTGTAATTTGAATTGGAGTAATACAAGGTTCGTACTAGGTGGGACTTGCATAGATGTAGAATCATAAATAAGCATCATTTCTGTTCTTTTTGGAGGCCTCATTGTAAAACTGGAGAGCTGAATACATAATTTCTAAAATCGGTCTAATGGCTGATTCAAAATCATAGCGAGCACTGGGGTGAACATACTTTTATGTTTTTTATTATCTTTGTAATCATTCATTTTAGTTTTCCAATTTCATCAAAATCATTGATTAGTTTCATACTTGCATAGATGAATACCCAATGCCAGTGGCATAAATGCTAGTTGTATTTAGGGGCCTATTCTTAATTTTTTATCTTGTAGAACATATAATATGGTCGTTTATACTAATTTAAAATTTTGACTAACTTGATTACTCTTATGATTAGCTGGCTTTCACTGGTATAATAATCAGTTTGTTTTATTACAATAAAATCAACTTGTGTTATACACTGGAAATTATGCTATTTGTGGGATTGATTCCTTGTTATACCTTATATTTTCCCCTCTGTGTTGACAGTCAATTGGATCTCTACAAAAGAAGTATTCAATTGGATCTTTTGAATTGTTAAGCAAGACTGCTCCTATTCAAGCCCTCTCTCTTATTATTCTTGGTCCATTTATTGATTACTATCTCAGTGGCAAGTTGATAACCAACTTTAAGTTGTCTTCCGGTGCCATTGTAAGTGATCGCCCTCTTCTGTTGAATTTAGATAGTTATGCTTTACAGTGTTGGATTGTTAACTTGGGGTCTTTGTAAATCTGTGCAGATATTCATTCTTCTTTCATGCAGCCTAGCCGTGTTTTGCAATATAAGCCAGTACCTCTGCATTGGGCGCTTCTCAGCAGTTTCCTTCCAGGTTTTAGGCCACATGAAAACAGTATGTGTTCTGACTTTGGGGTGGCTACTATTTGATTCAGAGCTAACTTTCAAGAACATCATGGGAATGGTTCTTGCAGTTGTTGGGATGGTAATTTATAGTTGGGCTGTCGAGCTTGAAAAGCCATCAAATGCAAAGACTCTTCCTCATTCAAAAAACAGCCTAACTGAAGAAGAAATTAGACTATTGAGGGAAGGGATAGATACCAGTACGTTGAAAGATGTTGAACTTGGTGAGGCTAAAGTTTAGATTGATTGGAAGAGATTAGTCTCAATTTTAATGTGGATTACTTCAATTATATTTGTTCATTTTATAGTTTACTTGCTAAGAAACTTGGTGTCTATCTGTTGTACGACTTAATCCATTTTAGAAAATGTATCTTATTTTTTTATTTGATTGTTTTTTTTCTTCTTGTTTTGCTGAGATTGTGTTATTTATTTGGCTTGTCGGTAGAAGACTGCCAATATGGGAGCGGTATTGTCTTGTTGATATTGAGATGTAAAATGTGTAAGCTCATGACAGGCAATATATTCTGTCAATTGTCTTTTATGTTAGATATAAAATTTTGATTATCTTATTTTTTCAAACTAGTGTATTTGATTCTATGTTTTCTGGTTATATATACAGAGAGCGAGAGTGGAGATCAACTTATTTAAAAAATAATTTTTTTTAATTTATTTCAAATCATAATCTTTAAATTGAATTTAATCTAATAGTTATTTAGTAACAAGATTAATTTAACTATTATATTAGATTCAATTCAAAGATTATGATTTGGAGTAAGTATATATATATATTTTGTTGATCAATTTGAAGTGTCAAATTTAATATTATCACACTTATGATAAATTTATCTTACATGTAGATTACAAAATAAATTTATTTTTGGATTTAAATCTATTAAAAGTTGCATTAAAACTATATTGTACTTGTTTAATGTAGGGTTGAAACACGCGTTGCTACATTTGATCTCCTTACACGATTATCATTTGAATTAATTTAATAGGATTTTGAAACATTGCACTTATTCATTAAAAATGGTGAAATATAAACTATCAAATAAAAAATAATAATTAGCTTGTCTCCTAAAATAATAATATTGATGTATTTCATTGTAAATTTTATCATACGAGATTCGGAAGTTTGACACATTTGTCAATTGATATTATTTATAAATTTAAATAGTCTTTTGATTTCTAAAATTTAATGTGTTTTTTATTTTAGTCTTTGAATTTTTTTTTCTTCTAAATTTTTATATCTTACTTTCTCGTTAATGTTAGTCTATAACGTTCAAGTTCTGTTAAAAAAGTTAATGTGGTAAACGGTACTGACGTGAAAATTATTTTATTATTTTTTCTTATAACATCTTTTATTAAACGTGAAAATGCATCATGAGGGGTTTAAAAGGAGGGATGAAATCCAAAATTTGAATGATTTTGTAACTTCTTCTTCCTCTCTTCAATACCAATATTGATCGACCTGATTAGAAGAGATCGTTGACCGCCATGTGTCGTCGATTTGAATGTTGTTCACCAGAGGTAGGGAATAGGAGAGGGGTGTACCTGCAAGACACTCCGATGCCAAAGTAAGTAAGAGACCAGAGCGAGAGCTAGTACATAAGTTAGGTGTAGAGAATTGAATACTTGACCTTCTAGTGAAATAGAGTATTTATAGAGAGACCCCAGCGGAGGGTCAGCGGTCACTTATGTTGGGCTGGATTGTCAGGCCCAACCCAAGTGACTGTTAGGGCTTACGTGGCATAGTGAAGACCAGCACGTGGTATTCGCCCTAGTTCAATTGTCCCGTGATCTCCGGAAGGTGGGCTGACCAGCTTTTTCGGAGGTGGGTAGTTGTCTGATGACGTGTTCCCGCGGGGGGAGCACGTGGAGAACGTGTGGCAGACGTGTTGTTCTCCCCGACGGGGGGGAATGTCTTCCCGGTGTGTCTAGGACTGTGCGCCACACTGGGTGATTTGGGCCTTATTGGGCCTTCTCCAAATAGCGTTGGGTTGGGCCTGCCCGACGGATGGGCAGGCCTGGCCCCAGTCCAGAACAGGATCCCCCTAAGTTGTAGCTCAAAAGTAACAGAGCGATGACTTGACGATAACTGTGTCGGGGAGGAAGAAGGCGCGAGGAAGAATCTTTGTCAGTCTGCCGTGTCGAGGACGCGGGAGCGCGGGGATCTCGGTCTTTTCGGGCTATCAGGTCGATGAGAGGGAAGGTTGGCGCGTCCTCGCCTGTCTGTGCTCGTGGAGGAGAACGAAAGGACGTGACTGTTCGCGGTGGCCACGTGTCTAACAATCAATGGGCCACGTAGGGCGGCTACCCTAGGGTACTCGAGTGCATAGGGGCGCTTCGAGTCCCGTGTTGGGTTTATAAATAGGCAGATGCCTACCCCTTTACCACTTTTCGCATTCTCTTGCTTTCGCACGTGGTACTTGGATTTTCGCACACGCAGTTGCTCATCATCGCCACCGTTACGTCCACCGCGTACTCTGCTGTCTCCACCGATCCAGTAAGTTTTCTGCCTTTATTCCTCTGTTTTCTTTAAATTTGACGCCGTTGTCGGGGACATGATGATGCCCCGAGGAGGGCAAGGGTTTTCTGTCGAATACGGCGGGATACCCTTTGACTTAGGATGAAGGCCCCGAGGACATTTGGGGACATAGCATAGTGTTAGATGAACATCTCGGGGACGTAGGATAGGGTCAGATGAATACCCCGGGGACGTTGAATGGGATTGGATGGATGCCCCAGAGAGGAACGCCTGGGCGGAAATGGACACCGCGGGGACGCGAGCTGCCGTCGAGTTGTGGTCGTCGTCCCCATCGCCCTTTCACTTGATTTGTGGTGGAAGGGTGAATTTGATCTTGAACGTCGAATTCACCATTTCCTTCTGTTTTTCAGGTGAATATGACCTCGTGGGCGCCGGGAATCATGGAAGTCGATGTGGAGCCGGAGGCTCCTGCTGCTGAGGTGCAGGCCCGCTCTGTCGAGGACTGGGTCGCCGAGGAACCTTTAAATATGTCGTCCTGCTTTGTCGACAGCGACATCGGCGCCTTTGCGACTGTCGAGGACCGCTGCGAGGGCTCCTCTGTGAGCTGGCAGGTGTACCGACCACGAGAGTATCATCGGATATGCTCGAGCTACGGGAAGATGAGGTTCCCGATGTATGAGTTTTTCTTCCGCAAGGCGGGTCTTCGGCTGACTTTTACTGATTTCCAGTTGGGCGTCTTCGACTGGCTTAAGTTGGCCCCTTCACAGCTGCACCCTAATTACATAGCCTTTATCCGGACCTACAAGTTCGTCTGCCGGAATTTGGAGATCGGGGCCACTCTTACGCTGTTCTTTCGACTTTTCCACCTGCAGAGGCAAACGGTGGATGGCCAACAAGGGTGGGTGTTGCTGAAGCAGGCGCTGAGGCTCTTCTAGGCGTATATGGATTCTGTATGGGATTTTAAAGTGCGTTTCTATGTGGTCCGACCTGTTTCTTTCGAGGTGTGCGCCTTCTTATACCGACGAGAAGCCCGTGAAGTGAGCGGGCATCGGAAGGAAGTTATTGTGTCGAGGGTGCCCTTGGAATGGTCGGAGGAGCACTTTAAGAAGGGCACAAATCACTATATCGTGTGAGCAGGGACCATGGATGAGGAGGACTTGATGGGCTACCAGATAGTAGTGTCCTTCATGGCCAGCTTCTCGTCGGCCAAGCTTGTGATGCCCGACGGGAACTTCATCCTCGACAGTCAAGGGAACGTTCGTCAGCAGGCAAGACTGATAAATATGAAGGTCCTGCTCGAGTGTTCATTTGACGAGGAGGCTCTCTTTTTCTTAGGTAGTGGGCGATAACCTGCCCGACTCTTTGGTCCACGTTAGTATTTGTTTTTGCTAATCCTTTCTTATTCTTTTTTGCAGGAAGCATGTCGACCATCGAGGAGCGAGTGAGGAAGTTGGCGGCCTTGAGGACTGTGGCCAAAAGCGGAAAGAGCAGGGTCGCCCAGGTGATGCAGCAGCCTCTTGCCGACCAGGGAGGAAAGGGGTCCTCGTCTTTGCCTTAGGGCAGCCACTCCCCAATGTCTCAAGGGACCGCGAAGCGGGCGAGAGTTCAGGCGTTTGATGTCGCCGTTGATCTCATGGAGGGAGTTTCTGAGGAGGGATTTCTCATCCCCCCTTACCACCATCATCCCGGGTTCTTCCACGGTGCTAGGTTGCCGACGGTGTCGGCTTCAGAAGTGAAGGTGGCTCTCGAGGAAAGTCGGGACGCTCGACAATAGGTGCTTACCAAAGATTTGGCCGCGATGATGCGGGTTTCCCAACTGCTCTGGTCTTAAGTGACGAGGATTACTCATCAGTCGAGCTGGCCATGTTGCAGGGAGATCTCGCCTTTGCTCAGTCGAGGCTGACCAAGCTGACGACGGAGCTAAATCTGAGCAAGGAGGAGGTGGCAGCGCATCGCAAGAGAGGTATCAACGCCGAGGATCGGGTGAAATCCGTAGAGGCCGAACAGTCAAGGCTGCGGGCTCGGGTGGAGGAGCTGGAGAACTCTCTTCGTCCTTCCGAGGATGAGACGGATAAGGAGAAGCTCTTGCTCTCCCATGCTGACTTGTTGGGTAGGATCCATGAACTGAAGCACGGCTGTCTAGGGACTGTTGAGGTCGCGTTCTCCAGTGCTGTGGAGCAGATCAGGGTCGTGAATCCCGAGGTTTCTTTGGTCACCGATGGGATTGGGCCTTATCACTAGGTCGTCGATGGACGGGTGGTCGTGATCGGTGATGAGGAGGATGAAGACGTCACGCCCGTTGATGAGCCCGAAGGAGGTTAACCCAAAGTTTAGGTTAGGTGTTCTCGAGTCTGCGTGCCCATTTTTGTTTAGTAGTTTTGTCGGGTCTGCGTTTTCTTTTTAATGTAATTTTCGACTATTGGGCTGGTGCCCCTTTGATTATTAAATGATATTTGGTTTTTTGCTAAGTGTGTGCTCGTTTGTATGTTTGCATGTTTGTATGCTTGTATGAACTTTGTATTTTTGTATGTTGTTGGAAGTGTTGCTTGACGCTTTATCAGTTATGTCCGGTAGTGTAGGGAACTGGTCGGGTGACTGGGGATGTTACCTGGTCGGTTGCGCAGAGGGACCACGGTCGCAGCCCTCTCTCCGCAGCGTGAACATCCCATCACGAGCTGGGTGTTCTGCCGTCTTGGTACGATGGCGCCTCTCGATTGAGGGGTCCCCGTCGAACAGAGCACTCTGCACACGCA